CCTTCCCCTCCCCTCTCCCCCCCAATACCTAGCCCCAATGGCAACCGTACGTGTCCATACGGATTTCGCGACGAAAACAACGCGTGCTCTCAACGTTACTCTCGAAACCCTTTAACGTCAACTAACGACTTGGCTACCACCTACCGTGGTGTGCACAACGGGCAAAAGGGGGTGAGACCTGGGCCAGGTTGAACGTTTTAAGGGTTTATATATATATACATATATATATGTATAGGTATCCTCGAGAGAAATACTTTGCACAGGATGTATGAAGCGCGGCAATCTCATTACTTGCCCTTATGCGTATTATAATTAAGCGAGGAGAGGGTCGATTCGTTAAAATTATTCGCCGTTTTATTATACGGGCCGGTGAAAAGTGGCCGGCTTCGAGTGGAACAGGTAAACGAGGCGAATTTACTCTCGCAAGCGCGGCGGGTGTGTCGTCAATTATGCAACGAACCGCTAACGGATGAAGATTTTCGTGCCTTTGTGAAAGGCGCGGTTATTACAGAGAGGGGCGAATAACGAGTCCGGTACGTGTCGATGGCGGTTTATTCGATACCACGTTTCGCGTTAATTCCCATTTCTGGGAACTTAGCTTCGTTTTTTTTTAACTATTTAACTTCGTTTCTTTCTACTTTCTTCTTTTTCTTTAAGCTTTCAAATTTTGAAAAGGGCGAGGAGAGAGAGAGAGAGAGAGAGAGAGAGAATAAGAAATTTTTCGAAATTGATACGAGCCAACTCGATCTCTAATCGTATATAATTTTAATACTCGAAGAGAGTATTTCCCTCTCTCGGCCAATTAATACAAGCCTATTCCATTATTCAATTCGTAAGAAGCGCAATTGAGCTAATGAGCGCGGGGAAATCGGATTTCGGACGGTTTGGCGGCTATCATTTGTTCAATTATGCATCCGGCCTTATCTTTCTCTTATCCGATAAAATAGTGGGAGTGGACAATTTCGTCTTTGGGGGAGGGAGGAGATGGTCGTGGAGATCTGTGTGTATACGCACACGTCTACTACCTGGTAAAGTCCTTAATTAAAGCTTTCCCCGGTGGGCGAAATCGCTCAAGAGTCGGATTAGTCCCGCGAAATCCCCATTAAACTTAAAATGAATTTCCACTCGTGGATACGCGGAGGCCAACTATACACCACGGCTGTATACGTGTACGCGCACCAGGACACCCTGTATACCCTGTATAAACCAGCTTATCCAACGTCTATACGTATATATACATATACATATATATACATATACATATATATATATATATATATATATATATACATACATACATATACAACCCTTTCGTCGTATTCCACTCTACGAGGCCGTGTTTGTACTCGTCTATACCTTCTAACCGAAAGCCCTAAATAAAACCGTGGATATCTGTATGCGGTGAACGTTGCTACTGTCGTTCGCGCTGATTGCCGTGTCCCGTCCAAGGGGTCGAAGGGGAGGGAGGAGGGGGATGGGAGGAGGGGGGTTGGAGGGACTCGCGACTGGACTCGACTGTTTTCCATGGATGGAGGAGGGGAATGGTTTGTATGTTCCTGCTAGCCGTTCGGGGGTGGCTTGCAAACAAACCGCGTTCTGTTATTTGATTCTGCCCGGCCGGCGCCATTTCGGGACCTGGGACCAACTTTTCGAAACCGAAACGGGTGTACACCGACCGCGAATAACGACAAATCCACGCCTATTCCGCGTTCATTCCTCGATCGCGGGATTGGTGGATTCTCAGAGCGAAATTTTATTTATAATCGATTATTTTTAAGTTTTCGGTATTCGATTTCTATTTCGCGACGAGTTGAAATAAGTTGGGACGATATTTTTGTTGCGGGTATATGTAAATAATAATTCGCGTGAAATGATGATGTATTGATGTTGTTTTATCGCGTGTCGGGAATGAGTATGAGTAGAAGAGACGGTAAGTTGTGTAATAAAGGGTAGCGGAATATATTTGGAGAGCATTGAAATGATAATTAGAAGAAGAGATAATTGAATCGTTTTTCGTGGATATTTGAAAAAAATTGTACGAAAGAATGTTGCGAATATGTGATTTTGTCCAATTAAAAATTAATTCTCCCAAAAATATTCTGCTTCGAAATGAGATAAATACGAGTTAAATGACAAGAGATCCGAAACCTATTACGATCTTGATGATTTTTTTAAATCTATTTCGATCGTTGACGATTTTAATAAGTCAATTAGATTGAATATAACTCTAATTCTATTTTCATTAATTGGAAAATTTTATGTATATAAATACATTTTGAATCATCATGATATTAAATGGACAAAATCCATAACGTTCGTTTAATCGCGACTCTCAATCGTTATATAGATATAATAGTTTGAATTTATTAGTTCTAAAATGGATTTCATAACCTGATACGATAAACTTGAATTAATAGTGACAAGCGTATGCTTACTGATGGCGTAGAATTTAATATACGCAACTGGATGGTTCTAATCGTAAAACCAAGCATTAAAGCACGCGACAAAATTGTGCCTTTCATGACTGTCGGTGTATAAATTTTATATTTTTTGCGCACGCTCGTAAAAGCTTCGTAAAGTTCTATTCTGTATCGGTTATATGCTGTCCTTTTTATGTTGCTCGTAAATTCGCTAAGATTTCACGCTTGCATACGCATCCACACGTGTGTACAATTGCGAGTTGAAATCACGAAAGTTTTGAATATTTCGTTTAATTCGATATATTTAATAAAAAAAATTGATCAATATTTTTGTTTTCTAATCTGAAAAATTAAAACAAACTCTTTCCACGAACTTTTAAACCGATTTCTTCACGCTCGTTAACTTGACGTTATAAAATTTGAAAACGTTCTTTATAATTAATTAAAAAAACATTCGTCGATTTAGCTCATCTTTTGCCAAAAGGATCTAATTACATTTATTATTTTTACACGAGAAAAATTGCGATTCTACGAATTTTAACATACGAAATATTCTTTATCAATCATTTATTCTTTATGAAGGATGTGCTAAGAGTCTAAAAATATCAAAAAAATATCTAATATTATGCCTAAAAAATATCGCGATTAAAATTAAAAAAAGAAAAGCAATACTATGAATAATATATACTATAATCTTGATGACACGAGCAAATAGTTTTTGGTGGAGTCTAACTACATTCCCATTTATCCTCGAGCAATATACGAATTGTGTCTAGAGATAATAAGGTATTATTAATGTCGTCACGCCACAGCTCTCTAATAACTTGCTAACTTTGCAAACTATTCTATTTCTTGTCATATATATACCTATGCCATTTATCCGATTTCGAAATGATAATTATTTTTGCATGGTATATCTTGTACGAACTACATCGTACAATATTTTAAAAATTATTTTTTAATTTAACGCGGAAACAATAACTAGCTATTTTCGATTATAAAAATATTCTAAACTTTTAGAGAATGAAAATTTTCGCGAGATTTTATTAGTATGCTTCACGACAAAAAAAAAAAAAAAAAAGAAATTAAAAGTCACTCGCTGTCCCATATATTACAAGATTTTACAAGATACACGAAAAAAAATCAGTTCGTGGATTACGTAAATGTCAAGTGATACTTTTCCCTTTGACGCGGTCATAAGCAGCGTTAAGATAAGATACGTTTATGAGAAGAGGAACGCTTTAAGTAACTCGATAACTGGTTGCACCTGACAGATGAAGAGACTTAGTCTCTCATCCTACGAACAACCCCTGAAAGGCAAACTTAAGTTCCAAGAATGAGAAACTTTCGAGAGACGTCGCTTTGACTCGTTCCTCACTTTCTTCCGTTACCCCTTTCTCGCTATCCACGCATAAGTGTCGTTTCGAAACTTTTGCTTTTAATTGCCAATTTATATTCGCGAGAGATATATTTCGAGTTGTAACAGCTATTAGCTAACGATAAAAAGTTTCGCGTGATAAAAATGTATAGGTTATAGGTAAACGTTATAGGTTAGGTTTTCGGCGGATTATAGAAATATTTTTTTTAGAAAATATTTTTTAGAAATGATGTAAAATAAACTATCTAATTATCAAAATAAACGAATAAAAAATAAATTTAGATTCGAAAGATTGTCAATTGTATAATAAACATACGTGTATATATATATATATATATATATATATATATATATATAGCTATGAAAAGATATGTAAATGAATAAAAAATAAGTAATTTAGACTCGAAAGATTGTCAATTATATAATATAAGCGTACGTATTAATCGAATAATAAATAGAATATACGAATAATTATTATATAGCTATAAAAAGAAATATGTACTTACATTTTACGCAGCAGCAAACAAACGCACCTCAAAGAAAAATGGCCTTCTAAATACTACGATTATCGATAATTACGCTTACGTCATAATTTCGATTATCGAATAACGAATGAGCAAAGAGAAATGCGCAGTAGTTCGGAAAAATAGAAATACATCGAAACGTATATAATATGACGCAATTTCCAATTTTTTAGAAAGATATTACGAAAAAATGAAAAAATATGTACTTTTACGTATATTGCAAATAAATCACGTATCTCAAGGAAAAATACTAAAATTTCTAAACACGAATATCGATAATTGCCACGTCATAATTTCGATTATCAAATAACGAAGGGAAAAGAAATGCGCAGTTCAGCAATATGTCGAAACATGTCGAAACATGTCGAGCATAATACGAACGCGTACTTCCAATTTTTTTGGAAACGTTACAACGAAAAAATGTCACGTACTTCGAGCAAAACATTGAACAAGAAAGAGAAATATATATAAACATTACTAATAGACGCAGTATCGAAACATGTAGGTCGAAATACGTATTAGGTCGAAATACGTATTAGATCGAAATACGTATTAGATCGAAATACATATTATTAACGTAATTTAATTTAATAAAATCAAATTTACATCGTACGTTCGTTTCAATATGGATAAAAAAATTATAAAAATCTATTCTAAGCAAATTTTTGTGGAACTTACCAATCTTGAAGAGAAGCTACGTCATCAGCTACGAATCGTCGTGGCATATGCATGCTATAAATCATTTTTCTTTCGATGTTATTCCGACAATCTGCACAAATGAAAATCAAAATCGTAAAATAAATGTATAAAAAGAACCATATTAAGATGAAGCAACAAGTGAATTCGAACCTAGATTCAATAAAGCTACTACGCAGTATCGATAACCTCACAATCAAATACACAAATGACAAGAAAAAAACACAAAAAAACTCAAAACACTAATTAATTTCACTACTACAATAATATAAATAGATTATTAAATAAACAAAACTGATTAAATTATAAAATTTGGTAACAAAATGTGAATAAAATTATTCGAATCACCGAAGCCGGAGCGATACACGTCCTCTCACGATGATTATCCACAGGAGAATGACGTCGCGCGCCACAGTTTACTTAGAAGCTTTCTGATTGGTCGACATTATAAACCAATTCTTGAGTAAAAATCGCGCGAAAAATTAAAATGTTATATAATATATTTTAAATATTTTAATTAAAAATATATTAAGAATAGATTATTAAAATTTATAAAATAATAATAAATAAAATAATAATTTTATTCTTACATTAAATATTTAATATCTATTAATAAATAATAAATAAATAATTCCAAATTTTTAATAATATCTTATTTAAAAATTACTAAATATTTTCTTTATAATTTTATAAAAATTATAATTTTTCGAAAAATAGTTTTTTGCATTATTCATTGCTCAGAATAGAATAAAACTGAAAAAATAAAAAAGCATAATAAATTATCGTAACAATCGATCATATTATATCTCGTAATATCAATATTCAACAAACAGTTCTTATAATTAACCATTCAAAAAATTTAAAAGCGATTAATTCGCGAAAAATATAGAATAAATTTCGGCAAAATAGTATTTCACGAGCGAAAATTTTTTTTTTAATTACAAAATTATTCGAAGCATATACTTTTCTAATTAGAAAAATTGCAAAATTCAACATATGACCTTTCTTCAAGTAAATCTAATTAAGCAATTCATACATTATACGTGAATGTTCGTCGTGTGCTTTGAATCCCTCTTAGATTTGGCTAGTATTATTACCGCCCTTTCTTCTATAGGAGCATAAGTCGTCCAGTAAATTCCTTTTTACGACACCATCCTCGATTTTCTTCGTATAGGGGAAGGATGTACTATTCTCAGGGGCGATTTCGAGTCCTTCGTCCTTCGTTCCTCTTACAACTGACGTTGTAAAAGTGGGCCGGCCCACATTCAGCGTTGGAACACGTTGAGAAGTTGCTGGGAGAAAAATATCGTGCCAGAGGCATCGCTGACGAGTTATTACATATTAGGCAATAGAACCTTATTTCTTTAAGAAATATTTGTAGTGGCGCCACGTCGTCACCTTGTCTCGACATATTACGTAATATGATTCAAGTTATAATTCAAGAAGATTCATCGACATATATAGCAAGATGAGAATCATTGTGGCGGAAGTAAGTCACGTACGAAACATTTTTAGAAACTTATACGTATAAGTTGATATTTTTAAAAAGGAACAGCCTCTTTGTATCCATTTTCCGATTTTGGTGATGTGTAAGATTTTTATCTTATTTTATACGTTGAAATAAAAAATATAACGAGCAATTTAAAAAATAACGTGAAATTCTTAATAATTAATGTAGCATATTTTATTTTATTTTTTTTTTTTTTTTTGTTAATCGAAGTTACTCAAATATGATATTCAACTCTGTACATAAGATAAATCTGTTTAATGTGTTAATTTAATACAAATAATGTAGTATCGTTCGAGCATAATGAAGTTCATCCAAATATTTATTTCATTTATACATTTTGCTCAATATCGAACGATCAATGTTCAGCAATCAATTAAAATTTATTTAATTCTATAAACGAAATATTGCCAATATTAAAAAGTTTGTTTATCACTTTTGTTTTAAACAAAAATATGCTTAACAAAAACGAGACGATTGTCCTTTTATTAAACATTTCATTCATTAAATTATTTTATTTCATTAATTTATTCAATAAATGTTATAAATTATAAATTCATAATATGACTGAAATTATTACTAAACTTTAGAGTTTAGAATTAGTTTATACATAATATTTTCCTAACTTAATAAATATTTATTTTTTCACAAATATATTTTCATTTATTACCATTTTTTCATTTATTGTTCATATATAGATATGGATATCTTGATCCTTTCAAATTTACCATAGAAATTATGTGTTAATTTACATTAATTTACACGATATAGTATTAGTTTATATCGATAGATGATTTATTAATTCTGCTACCCTTATACGAGAATTTTCTCTTCATCCCACGATTCTCACAGTGATAAAATGAAATCACGAGGGTTCATGGCATTGATTAGACGATGAACATGCCGATAAACCCCGAAAACACACAGAACCACGGTTCAAATTCACCTAATTATGGTAATGAACTAAATGGATATGTCGACAACTCTGCTCTCATGAAATGATTATGTAGATTCAGACAGAACTATTAATCATAATTGTCGTGTAAATATTTTTACATATTTCATTATTTTTATAAAACAGAAGAACTTTTTAACGAAAGAAGAATTTGAAACAGTATGGAAAATAAAATATAAATGAAATCAAATTTCAAAAGTGCTTCTTAAACATTTTTAACGATATTAAAAATTGAAAAATTATAATTGATATCAAACTCTTATTTTTCAAAAGACAATAATCAAAAATACATACAGTAAATAATATTTATAATATATGCAAATTTTAATAATCCTATCTATTATATACAATAAATTATAGTATTATAGCGTAAAGTTATTGTTTATAGTCTCTGTATATTTCAATATCTCTCAACCAACTTTAAATAACTTATGGATCCAATTATTTTGATAATAAATAGATTATTCGACACGATCCATTATTTCATCACATCTCCTCCATCTCCAACGCCCACTAAAAAATCAAAATATCACAGCTTTATTTCCAATAAAGGGGGTCAACTTGTTGAATACAATAAACGTTCCATAAACATTCTAGAAATCCGCCCACCTTCCTGAAACCTTCTCCTCTGAAAGTGATACAGCGAGGAGCGGCATTAACCCGGGCTGGCAATCGTTCAGCCAGTTCAATTCGAAAAACCGGGGCTCCGCATCCCAAGATGCTCGAGAGAGATTCGAAGGGTTGCTCGCAACGTGGCCAATTAAAGGAGAAAACAATCGGAGGGAAAGACTTTCCTCCCGATCCCGGCCCACCTTTATCCACGATCCTGGAATGGACTTCCTCCTGGAACCGTGGCTGTTCCATGGCGCGCACAACCCGCCCATAAAATACATCTCTGGAGCGCGGCCGTCGGTGGAATCCAAACGGCGCATTTGCGCAATGGAACGTGCAACCAGTGCACGACGACGAGTGTTCCCTCGTATATACACAATGAGCGGGAGAGAGAGGGGGCGAGCGGAGCTGTTCGAGCAGAAGCGAGACGACCGCACCGGGGCAAATGTTTCCGCAGTGCGTACCGGCCGTGCCGCGGGTTCCATTTATGGGATTGCATGAAAAATTCCGCACGCATATTCCGCGATGTTTCGTTTCCTTTTTTACGGGGGACCCAGCCTTGTTATCGTCGGTCGGCCGTCTCTAAACCGATTGCGCATTCAACCGTGCGCACAACTCTCTGTGTGGAACACTTACTACACACAGGAAAGGCAACCCAGTGTCTAAACTTTCATCCATCTTCTACACGGGGATATAACACGAGCCATTCCACTTGAAATGATATAGAAAACGCGTCTGAATCCAGATTTCTTCTTCCTTACTTCCTTCCTTCCTTTGATGTCCCGAGGATTCTTTAATGATATGGGGAGAATTTGATTCCAAGGCAAGGATTTCTGATTTCACGGTATGAAATTTCCTCGCGACGAAGGGACGATGGTAGGGGATGATTCGATGGCTGGATTTAACGCTATGAGATTTTCCCTCCTTTTCAAGGAGAATGGTTGATAAAGTATTAACGTGTGCGTTAAAAAGCGTAATTCAACGCTTTATGGAATATTAATAATAATTCATCGTCTCTTTAATCTATTAGTAAATTTTAATTTGCAAATTTGATATATTTTTCTCGAGCGCGTTTATTCGAAAGTAATTAAATATTTGAAAGGAAAAGAAGAATAATATTTATTCCACAAAGAGATTTTTATCGTAGAATATTGTCGTACGTTAGATCTCAGACAAAATTGTAAAATTGTAAGATGCGTGAAATTACTACGTAATTTGTCATAAAATTCGTACGCTTTCGATATTACAATTCTCGTCGAGAATAGAGTAGAATTTGAGCTACAACCTAGCACTTTGTCGTCATCCCTTGAATTGTCCTCCAGTTTTATATTCCCATCCCCCGCGCGTTACAACCCCTCTGCCGAACTCTGCATTCCATCAAGCTTGGTTTCACGCGCAAGCACCACAGCCTTCCTTCCCTTTAGTAACATCCAACTAATTTAGTCGTACAAATAGCGTCGCCGCGGCATCGTTTGATCAAACGCGCCATTAAGCGAAATAATGAAGCTAATACCACGTAACGGGGTAAGCGTCGAATCTAAGCTTTCTTCGTACGAGAGACAGCGTTTACAGGTATTGTAATATATATATATGTATATTTTTTAATAATTTTAACAATATCTTCAACATACGCGTTATATCGATTTTCGAAAATTGAAATGATCCAGGATTAAATTAAGGATAACAGGCTATTCAGCGTAATGTAATAACCCGGGTGTCATACGTATTATAATATTGCAGTGGCGATAATCTGCATTAAAATATCTTGTTAATAAATTATATTGTGGATTAAAATCTCATCGTTACACGCCGGTTTGATTTATCGCGTGATATTAAATCGACCGATAAATTTATTCGAAACACGCGTGTTTGTATACGCAGAAATTTGATCCCGATGCGAAAATTTAACAATCGGGCAGGTTTTATTTATTTATTTTATTTTATTTTATTATATTTTATATTTTAGGCAACCGTATATTTGTGGAAGAAAAAAAGAGAGAGAGAGAGAGAGAGAGAAATAACAAATAAAAAACGTAAAAAAAGAGCATAAAAAAATACACATTCATATAATAACTAAAGTATTCATCTTGGAAAGAAATTCTGATTTTTTTTTTTTTAACAAAAGCTGATTATTTCCTTTTGATAAAAAATCATCCATCGAAAATTACTTTTATAATTATTTCTATAAATAAATTGTTGATATCCCGAATATTAAATTTTTCTTTTATCTAAATTAAACATCGATGAGAGATACTTGGCGC